GACAAAGAATGTCTGCCACAAGACTCCCTTGTTCAAGCAAGAATTAAAGATAATGGGCTAAGTTATAGGTTTCATTGGATTTCTCCCACCTCTTCATTCTGGCTGCCAATTTTTTTCCTTTTTATTCTTATCCTTCCTTGTTTGTGTTCAGAGTGGTTTTAATCACTGATGGTCAGTCATACTTCTCCCAAAATAATGCTGTTTGTACTGTGCAAGTCAGATAGGAGGCAAAGTAATTATTCCAGTTTCTGTACTTGCCTAGAAATAGATTCAGACTCGGGTCTGTTTCTGTTGAACCGTCCCAAGAATGTGCGCGTTACCACAGGCATGCTGAAGTTTCCCAAATTCTCATCTCCTGTGTTGTGTGGCCACAAAGAATGTGGGTGTAAGGGAGAAAGGGAGGGAGGGTTTACCTTATGAAGAAAGAGGATGCTTGGGTCATTCACTCCAAGCATGGTAAGTAATTGGCTTCAGATTTGTTTTGTTCTGGGGAGATTTTAATTAAGCTTTTTTATATGCTGTTTAATAAACATTTGTCCATAAGCGGTATCTTGTGATCCCCATCAGTAAAGCAGGAGGATTAATTTGCATGCTGTTGTTTGTTATTTATTTAAATAGCCACAGAAATTATACTGAGTGTTCTGCTAAGGCAGTGGTGATGGGTCTCTGCACTGAAGAATATAGCATCTATAAGGACATGCAGCATCAGGGTTATTGTGTGCATGCTTGGTTGTTTTGGAGTGTGGGGGTTTTTTTGTTTGTTTTGTTTTTGTTTTGTTTTTTAAGCAGACTCCCAGCTTCTGGCAGTCATGGTGTTATTGCCTCTTCAGGTTGCTTATATTTGTTATTTAGTAGCTTGCAGACCAAATTTTCATTGCTTTCTCACAGGACACAAATACAACATAGCCATGGCTACATCAGGTCAGATTGAGGGTTCGTACAGCCCCGTATCCTGCTTCCAGTGGAGGCTTTAATTGGATGCCTGGAGAAGAGTCGGAACAAAGCAAGCATGTGATCCTTCCCCCAATACTCTCCAAGCCTCCAGCTATTTTCAGTTCAGGGACTTCCTGAGCCAGATGTGGCTCTATATATTTGGTAACCCTCAGAGGATGCATCTTCTGTGAACTTGTCCAGCCTTTGCTTGAGCCCACATAAACTTGCAGCTTTCAAAACATCATTTGGCAAAGAGTTTCAAACATCTGCTACCTCTGTGACTAGAGGTAGACTCTCTCTCTCTCATTTTGAATTTTGCTTCTACCAACTTTATTTAATGCTCTTAATTGTTGTGGTGATTATTGTTGTGGTTGTGTGTGATTGTTGTGATTATTGTTGTGATTATTTTGTATTATTGTTGTATTATTTTGTAGCTTTCTGCGATATTCTTACTTGTTGGTGTCTTTTCCATACCCAGGGGGTTATAGTTCCCTTGTATGAAAACTGTTCCATACTGTCCGATCATTCTTGTTGCATTTCTCTTAACGTTTGGATTTATGAGGAAGTGTCAAACACAAGAAGGCTGTAGAGAGGAACTTCCCTTGGCATAAGCTGTGTCGATGTTTCCTAATTCTGGTTTTCATTCTTGTCTGTACTGTTTTATCTAGAACAGTCATCAGTCCTATGTAGTCTTAACTTACTCAAATTTCTGGTTTGTTTTAAAGTCATACTCTCAGTTCTGACCCACCAAAGCAGCTCCAAGTTAGAGGTTGTGCGCCATCATTAGTAATTCAGCTATTTCATTCTTGAATTTCTTTGGACCTCTGGGATGATACAGCATGGTCTTGAGCATTTCTCGCCATTTATTTGTTAGTGTGTTCCATAAACAGTCCCGTCAGATTCAGCCTCATGCATTGCGGAGGACAACCCCAGCATGGGAACCTCCCAGGATTTTGCCAAAGTACACACTAGTGCAGAAAAATAGTTCCGCTTCTCTGTGATGGCTCTGTTTTCTCTGCATCTCCTTTTATACCTTGATCGTCACTTGGCACTTCAGACTCCCTGGCAGACCTCCTGCTCCTGATGTATTTGAACAAATGATTCATTACTTACTTGATTCCCTCTCCTAGCTCTTCCTCCAGTTGGCCTGCCTTACCACATTTGAAGTGCCGGAGTTTACAGTCTTCTCTGTTTTCTTTTTTTGGACTTGGTGTCTGCTTATTGAAGGATCCCTTTTTTGCTTCCAGAAACATGCAATGAGCCATGCTGATGTCCCTTTGCTCTTCTCAAGTCTTTCTTAATAGGTGGTGAATAGTGGTTCTGTACTTTGCATGTGGTTGTTGTTAAGCAGCTTTGATGCTGCCAGTCAGATTTTATGTCTTGTAGCTGTCTGTTAGGGCTTCATTTTAACAAGCTTTCTCCTTTTTAGGTAGTTACACTTTTTGAAGTTAAGCACAACAGTAGCAGACTCCTTGGTTTTCATTGTTCCTGTAGGGATGCTCAATTTAACTATGTCATGGTCACTGATGCGTAGTGGTTCTGCAGCTGCAGGATGTAGAAGTAGACTTTTTCTGCTGCTCAGGTCTGTGCGGTGTCTCCTCATGCAGGCTCCCTAACTGGCATCTCCATGGAACCGCCTTTGGCAGTTATCTGATACTTGGGTCTCTTTGTAGTCCGCTTGCTCTTTCTGCGTGGGAGGGGTTAAAATCTTCCTGTGTACAACCTTGTACGGTGCCTTTGCTGGTCGCGCTCGGTCTGCTGCTGTCAGGGTTGCCATAGTCCAGCCATGCCGGGTGCTACCAGTGCTCCCTCTTCCTGGTCTAACCAAGCTCTAGCCCCCTGCTCCTTGGTGAGGTGGAGTTCTGTTTTGATTTGTTTCTAAACTCTGTGTAGCACATCCTGTTACTTTGTCTTCTCTATGTGTCTGTATCCTAGAATGATGAAAATAGCGACCCGCTAATTGCCTCCCCTCTACCAGATTTCTGGTGAGACTACTGCTAGTACTTTTGTTTGAAGCTTGATGTTCCAGTGATCCAGTTTTATTTCTACTCGTCTCCTTTGTGTAGAAGGCAATGTATTGTTGGATCTTCTTCTTGCCACTCTAGTTACTCTGCAGTCACCTGCGTGTCTGTTTTCATTCTTTGATTCTTCTCGGTATCTTTGCTTGGTGACCCAGAGTCTCCACCCCTTCTTGTGTCACATCAATGCTGTGCTTTTGAACCAGGTGTTCTTCTAATCCCCGCTCTTCAGTTTAAAATTTCAGTCGTGATCCATAACTACCAGTGACCGGGCTCCAGCCCTGCTGTACAAATATCTTTATTCTAAAAATATTCCAGTTCCTGTCAAACCTGATGTCTTGCTTTGTCACCATCCTGTCAAGCGGGCACTGAGGTTCTTTTTCTTCTTCCCAGAAGCCCATATTTTGCTGTCAGGATAACTTTCCTTTTCTTCCTAGTGTTACTGGGACCCAGATGGACCACAACATAGGTTTCTCCTCAGCATTCCTAGGAACCAGTCCAGGCTCTGTGACCTTTGCAGCTGACGGGCAAATCACCATGTGGTCTTCTGTCAGATCCCAGGCTCCAGCTGTCTGTTTGCCTGATGATACTCCAACACACCCATTTTAGTTTGCATTATAACTGCCTCATTTATGCATCAGCAGGGAGAGGGTGTTTGTCAAAAAGGGTTACTTTGGTGATAGAAACCTCTAACAGCCTGTGAAATGATGGTAAAGGAAAGGGAGGTGCAAGTGAAGAGACAAAGCGCAGAAGTGGGGTTGCAGCGCTGACCTGAGGAGATGGCAAGAAGTAGAACTACCAACTTCTGGCAGAAGTAATGGGAACAGATCAAGTTGTGATAGTAAAAAGAACCTACCTAGCAAATATTACTACATTGTTAAATGAATGTAGTAAGTTAACTTTAGGTTGAACCGGTATGTGTTTACATGTGGAGTAAACAGATTTATGGGTGTATCAGACTCAGTGGGAACAATTAGGAGTTCAAAGCATTTCAGATGTGCTCAGGTATCTGAGACATTTGCTCAGGGCAGGGGATATGCAGGGCCAAAGGGAGATCCATTCTAGAAGGGAGAAGTTCTGTTGCATCTGTCATTTGTCTGATATGGTACTAAATATCAGCGTGTAGGGGAAAAACCCACAGCTACCTAAAGTAGGGGCAATATAGGCACCATATCAGGAGCTTGTTGAAAGCATGCTCTTTCAAATATTTCAAGAAAATATCAGTGGCTGTTGATACAAGGCTTACAGAGTAAACTGGTGCAGAAAATCCCTCTGACTTCATAATTAACTTGCTTGTGGTTGTAACAAATTCTCAGAGTGTACATGTGTTTCTCTGTGCATGACACACTGATTTATCCATTAATAGGACATGTTAACGGGTTGTTTTGTGTTGCACTGGATTTTGGGTTTATCTTTTTTTAAAAAAAGACTTATGTTCTGGGGAAAGAGACTGAGAGATTGAACTCAACAAAACCAAACTTGCCAAATCCCAAGGTTTTTTTTGTGCAAAGCTTAAATGCACAGGTATCCCCCAAAGCTGAAAACCTGAGGGTTGTAGGCAAAACATTTCACAAAAATTAGTACTTTATTGCAAAAAAAAAGGGGATGGGGGAGGGGGCACTTTTCTTGCAATGTCTATTTTAGAGTTGTACCTTTTTTCCACAGTTCTACTTTCGGGTGAGCACATCAGAATGATTCCTCTGATGTGCCTCAGTAGTGTGCCTGTGGAGAGTAAGCATTTAAAATAACTGCTTCTGTATTATAAGGCTGGGCATTATGGGACCGTGATGTTCAGAAGCATAGCATTTTCCTCATCCAGCCTGGCCTTGAAAAGGCTAACTATACGGAGCGCTCAGGCTTACTTCCTCTGGCCGGACAAGAGGCTCTGCAGCCTTGCATTAACTGTTGAGTAGAAGGGTCGGACTGTTGGCTCAGGTGTGTGGCTGAGGAGGTCACTTCTGATCAGGCTGCCATGCAGAAGTGCCATAGCTTGATTTCATGTCCTCCTGCCGCAACTCACGTGTTTGCTTTGCTTGGCTCTTCCAACAGATACCGCCACAGTATGGTCAGCAAGGTGTGAGTGGGTACTGCCAGCAGGGCCAGCAGCCGTACTACAACCAGCAGCCCCAGCCTCAGCATCTGCCACCCCAGGCACAGTACCTGTCACAGGCTCAGCAGAGGTACCAGGCTCAGCAGGTAAGAACCGTTCTCCAATTCTCACTGTCTCCCTGGAGCTGGAAGTGTGAAAGTGATCTGTGTGAAGTGAACAAAACCCACCCCATGCCTTCTTGAGACAACCATATTGAAAACAAAAATTGAATAAAGCATCGGAAAAGAACCTTCTGGAAAGTCTTTGGGGGTACAGACACAAATACATCTGCACACACTTTCAGGCTTTATTTTATATTGGCTTTTTTGAGTGAAGCCAGTGTCTGTACCCCAGCAACTATTAATTCTGCTCTTAAAAACAAGTAACAGATTCTTGATCAGATGTCAGTGGAGCCTGGAGGTTCTCCTTGCTTTTGTTTTCCCATCACAGGGAAACAAAAACGAGGGCTCCTGCATCTAATATGGTCACTACTGTGTTGTTTTTCATGTTAACTTCATTTGAGGATAGATGAGTTCAAGGCATTTTGGAGCTTCTTAGGGGAGATATTTTTAATTGATATTACAGCTATTAATTTGAATATTGTCAGTTTCCACATTTGGTTAGTGAAACTGCATAATTCAATACCCATTGCTGTTTTGAACTGTGCTTTATGTGTTAGCCATTAAAACTCATTTAAAGTGATTCTGGTTCTAACTAAGATCAGAAGCAATAGTGTATGGGTCTGCTTCCCAGAGCTTGAGGAACACACAGATTTTAGATGCTGAACAAAATGGATGTGCATAGCTGATGCAGCTGAATGTGTAGGCTCAGTTCTATCTGCAGTCTCAGCTCTGTTAATCACAGAGAGGTGATCTGGAAATGGAGGGATGAAACTAAAGCATACTCGCCATCCTGGGAAATCTAACAAAAGTGAGTTGCTCAAGACTGGGTATTAGTGGTATCATCAGCACTTGCTGCAAATCACCGGGGAATTCTGTCAGCCATGGTTGATTAACATTTTGGGATAATGCTGGTGCAATGTAGAAATCCTAGCATGCAATAAAAATAGTGTGTAAAATAAACTAACAAAAGATGCCATAAGTAGCAGTGATACAGGAGGCTCCCCTCCTTTGATTTTAAAATAAATCTATGATAATTTCACTGTGTAATTACATGTTAATTTTTCTTCATCTACATTTTAAAATTCCATTGAGAATTAACTTTTTTCATTAAAATGCTGGATGGTTTATGAAATAGAATTCTTAATTGTATCTATGATATTCTTGTAAATGTCACCACTTTCCATCTTTTGGATTATACGTAACTGTGACTTTAAAGATTGCAGTTGTGTCTCTAAATTTAATTTTCTCCCTTCTATACTTTAGCATTAAATGCTTGATTTCTCTATGACTTGAAATATTGTTCATAAGCATCTTGGTAAAGTCTTAGCAGATAAAGTCTTGGTAATACAGCCTATGAGATAGAAGAAACACAGCTGCTCCAGTGTCTACATATCACAGTTTGTGAAATTGATTTTTCTTTTTTTTTTCCCTTCCTTGGACACCTCCTCATATTTTAAATACTGTCAGTTGAATGGACTGAGTATTTAAAAACTACACAAAACATACCAACTATGCAGGATTTAGGAAATAACAAGATACTGATTTATCCGTTGATACATGTTCCAATTGCATCACTTGCTGTCGTAGCCAGTAAAGTGAAGGTTTGTGCAGTGAAGTGAGGGATATCATAGAAGAGGATAATGGGAGGCAAAATGGGAGTCAAGCCTTCCATATAATATGGACTTCAGAGTAATGGGATTAAGAGAGGCAGGGACAGATTCACAAGTAGAAGGTATCAGCCTCAGTGTAGCAAAATTTCTTCTCTGAGGATTTGAGGGT